AAAAACGCGTTTGAGAGACATATTCACAATTTTTTTTTTTTTTTGCAAAACACCAACTTTCATAATATTTCACAAAACATATCAACATGCGCGTCTTTAGATATTCTTCACGAAGATATAGATATAATATGCCCATCCTTAATTGTCTTCTTGTTATTAACGCGGAAATGCAGCTGATTTCTCAAAATGTGCCAAGATTAGGAGACGATACTTAAGAAACTCCATCTTTTATTTTCTTTAAACTCCCCTTGGCACTTTGCAGTGACTTGAAGTAACTTGTGGTGGCAAAACATTGAGTAACGTATGACCTCCAAACGGGAAAAGCTACTACAAACCTTCACTCGGAGCGAGCCAACGTCTTCGTCATAATGGCTTTGCCGCACAGCACCAAACATTTTGAGCGTTAGGTATGGCATATATTTTATATTTTCCGAATATTTTTTTTTTCATAAGGGGTGAGTATCACTTACGCGAAACGGGACTTTGAGCTGGAAACCCATTAATTAGCTTACAATTCACAAAAACGAAACGGCCCCACTCTGCAAATTCGCTAACTATGCATTCTCAGTTGCGCAAGCGGCCATGTATACATCCGGCCTCTCGGCATATGATTACTTCCATAGATTAGATGCCTGGATTCCTCTCACAGGTTTTACGGTGGTCCTCTCTGCTTGCTTCACCGCACGAAACTCTCGAACCTGTTCCGCAGACAAGTGGAACGCGCAGACATTTGTTTCTTTTTCACGTAGCACTTCCACAAAGTCCTTAGCGGTGACAATCGTTGAGTTGAGCGAAGATCTCAAGTTGGTGAGCGTTGCGTGGTGTTTGAGAACACCATCTACTCCATCACAAGCGCTTTTTCCGTGTTCAGAGACTGAAAAGATCCATCTTGCCGAAGAGTACGACTTCCGAGACAGTTTGTGCAATTGGAAGCGATCCTTGAAATACGCCGCCGCTCCGTCTGATACAAAAATTATTTCAGAAAAGACTGAGCAATGTTCATCACCATTATCTTCTATAACCTCTATGTCTAGAAGAGCGTGAGCTGTGTCATGTGTCATGTCATCGCTGACAACGGCAAAGCTTTACGTGCCTTGCGTGGACGTAACCACACGTGTGAAGAGAGACACTCAAGATTTTTTGCAATAAAAACTCTGCACTTCGGTTGGGAAGATTACTGCCGAAATTTCCGAAAAATCGAAGTGGAACATCACTGCCTTGGTTGGTAAGTCGGTTCTTGTGCCCCGTATCAGGCTTCGTCGAAGGTCACGGTTGTAAGAATGCCTCATATACTTTTCGCTCCATGACTCCAATTCTGGCAAAAAGGCGGAAGCGTCCATAACCTTTGCGACGAGTTGGCCGGCGTCCCATAAAGCGAAACAGATCTCTTCGTCTTCGTCGAGATGGAGCGACTGCAGCGAGATGATGTGCATTTTTGGGCACTTTTCGCAACGGCGCAGGAAGCAATCGTTCTGTGGAGCGCTGCAGAGGTAGATGCGCTTGAGGTCGTTTCAAGTAAATGTCTTCTTTGAGGCATTTGTTATTGCCGTTAAAAGCAACTGAAAATAGACGCAAGGTATGCATACGCACACCTCGTGCTCGGGACTTTTTTTTTTTTTACCCATTTTGGTCGTAGACAGTAAAATTTGGAGATGCCTAGTTCTTGATGGGGATGGTCCTTCCTAAACAGCTGGTAAACTTCTTTAATAGAGTGGGCCATAACCCTTTACGACTTTCGTCTAGGTATCGTTGATTATGGCTTTGACGATGTCCCTTTCGTAGGGGCTTTGAACAGAGCATGTGAGCTCGTCGCGTGTGTAGCACTCAAGTGCAACCCTTACATCTTAGGCATTCGCCTTTTTCGCCATGTAGGGATCAGGGGTTGCCCATACACCACTTTTACGCTTCCGTTTTTTTGTTTTATCAATCATGTTGGCAGTCACTTCCGGCACCAGAGGCAATATTTCTTTCTTCGAGATGCTTGGTGACAGAAGCGTGTGCAATCGCTTGTGTTTTTGGTGGGAAGTGCATGCCTTCAGAGTTCGCGGAACGAGTCAAACCACTCTGTGCAGTGCTCACAAGCGTCTTCGCCGCTTTTCACGTCTTAAAGGCTCGGCAGCTTTCTTCTAATCGAAGAACTCACTTAAACTTTTTTTTTTCTTCAAATACGCTTCCCGGCATTTTTCTTTAATGGTTTTACATGGTTTCAATAAGGTTACCGACGGACTAGCAGCAGACAAGTCTTGACTCACTGCAGCCGGAATTTCACCAGAGTCCCGGAAAAGAGAGTTTGATGTACTCACGTTGTGAGGAGAAGCAATCTCAGTCTTGAGGTATTTGTTGCAATGCTTGCATAAAAGGTCACATTCGTTCACTGTTCGTGAAGCCAGTAGCTTTTCCAACCTAACTTAGTTGAGTGCGGTCGGGAAAGCTGGATGTATACATGGCCGCTTGCGCAACTGTGAGTTTTAGGCTTATGTATGCATAGCTAGCGAATTCGCATAGTGGGGCCGTTTTGTTTTTGTGACTTGTAAGCAAATTAATGGTATTCCAGCTCAAAGACCTTCTCCTTCTGAAAAAGAAAAAAAGAATTTGAAAAATATAAAATACATGCCATAACTAACGCTCAAAATGATTGGTGCTGTGCGGCAAAGTCGCTATGACGAAGACGTCGGCTCGCTCCGAGTGAAGGTTTGCCGTAGCTTTTCTCGTTCGGAGGTCATATGTTACTCAATGTTTTGCCATCACAAGTTAGTTCAAGTCAGTGCAAAGTGCCAAGGGAAGTTTAAAAAAAATAAAAGAAGGAGTTTTTTTAAGTATCGACGCCCAATCTTGCCACATTTAAAAAAAATCAGCTGCATTTCCGCGTTAATAACAAAAAAACAATTAAGCGTGGGCATATAATTTTTACATATTCGTAAAAAATATTTAAAGACGCAACTTCTGATATTTTTTTGTGAACTATTATATTAAATGTTTTTTTTGTTTTTGTTTTTTTTTGCAAAAAAAAAAATTGTGAATATGTCTCTAAAACGCGTTTTTATGCCATGTTTGATTTTTTGTTTGCATAAAAATATTTTATTGATATTTTTCATTTTTTTGTGTATGTGTTGTATATCTTGTGTAAAATGCTTTAAAAAAGGTATGGTGACGTCAAAGCTTCAACGAGGAAATTACAACTGTGCAAAGTAGCACCTTGAAATCTTCTCAATTTCCACGCCTCGAGCTTCTCTATTTTTTATCTATAGCAAAAAAATTGTTACGGCGTTCATATATAGCTGAATGTTCCTCCCAAGAACATGGCTTTCGTATATATTTTTAACAAACAGATCTGAATTATGACCCGGACCATCATTGCATGAATTGACGTGGAATTACCCACAAGTCTGATTTACACCATTAAGGGTGTGAAAGTGTTTAGTGTGCACACTGACGTTTGACTACGACCGACTGAGACAAGGCCGGTTCTTAAGGCTCCTGTGAAGGCTTACGCCCGGCTCCGCAGAAGCGTATCCGGTCGTAAGAGGCTTTGAAACCGGTCTTGTCTCAGTCGGTCGCAGTCAAACGTCAGTGTGGGGAACGGGCCTTTATTCTTTTTATTTTTCTTATGCTATTTTTTTTTATTCAAATGATGATTCAGGAATATATTTATTTATTTACTTATTTACGCTCCGGCCCTCGAGACAGCGGCAGATCCCCGATTCGGCCCCTTCGCCAAAACGTTTGCAGACCTCTGGTATAGAATATACTACTAATACTCACTAATTAGTTGCATTTTGTTGTAGCTTATGACGTCACAAAAAAGAACGCACGGGTTGAGGTGCGTTCGGTTGCGTAGCATAACAAATATCACTGGTAAGCTTTACCTTTTAATAGAGTTGGGGGAAACAAAGGTCATAAGCTTCCAATTTCAGCTCGGGGACACTGCATCGTATATTCGTGTTTGCATCAAACTGAACTATCAGTGTTTTCTTTCTCTCTCGGGTTCCAACCGAACCGTACATCCATCATAACACGTGCCGTTATGATAGCTTTATGGACAAGTCAGGCCATCGCATGGTTTCGGCGACATCCGCTACGTGACGTCCGCCATGTGACGACACCCTGTGATTATGGATTGCCGAGGCAGGAACACTTAGTTCTTTCCGCCAAGACACGACGCTGTTCGAAAAGCTCCACGATCTCAGAATATTTGGGAGCAGATTGCGGGTAATCGCTGTTCACCACTTCATCTTACGTTGCCACGCAGAACAGGTGACAGTATTTTCGATGGCGTGCTTCCGGTTCGCACCGGAATGTGGGAGTCTAAATTTCGTTCCAACGGTTCGTTGAAGCTTTCTCGTCGATTCTTCGAGAGGCCTCGGTGGAAGCTTGGTTCGGTATTTCCTTAACGCGGCAGCCCCCGTTTCCGCGTAACCGATGGACAGATTACGTGAAGCCTCGTGCACGTCAACGAGGGCGAGAGTGAAGCCGCCTAAATTACTTACCGTTTTTTCGAAAGTCGATTAAGTCGGCCACCGATGTCGACCTTGGCGTCGCGGATTCTCGTCGCCATAAGTGACCATTTCTCTCGAGTGGTCTTTTTCCTCATGCAAATGCTCAGGCGAGATTTCGCTTGTTGTTGCACCTGCGCGAAAGAAGCAGGCATTACGGCAGTGCAGCCGGAACGCGCAGAAACCGAGAAAAGTAACCGCCGCTGGCACAGCCTTCTTGACTCTGGCGTTCTTCGGGGAAGGTGATACCAAATGAGGCTGGCATAACGAGTTCGTTCTCGTACAAAGTTATCTAAAGATACGTTTTCGAGGCTCGTTATCTCGGCCTTGTAAGGCGGAGAACTTGCGCGTTGCGAAGTCCGTTGAAGTTTCGGCGGTTCGGACCGAAAGGGGCATCTGTACAAGGTCCAGTCACCGCTTTTTTGACTAAATACGAGTCTGGTCATCGCGTCGCGCACGAGCGAGTTGTTCCGAAGCCGAAGAAACGCCACACCAACTCGAGCCGACATGGTGTGCGACCAGAACCCCGTGGCGAAATGTGCCGCCGAAAGTGATCGCGGTGAGAAGAAGTCATCTCCACTGCACGTGATACACAAGCCACGTGAGTCGTTGCTCAGCAGTCCGGAGCCGACGACCAACTACAAGGGCTTCGTCAGCTTCTGCGTCGTCATTCTGGTGAGTGGAGCAATAGCTCGACACGCGACCAAGTCCGGTCGATGGGACGTCGGCTCAAAGAGGCGTGACTTCAGAGAATCAACCAGAGTTAGTTTCCCATTCGAGCCCTTTTTGTACACACGTCGGCTTCTGGAACAATCGGCGTAGAAGGCTCGGTGCGTAAAACATTCTATCCTCGAATCAGCAACACGGTTCTCGAATTTAGCAGAACATCACATTACAGAGTCAACAAAAATGTGTACCCGCGGCCAGGCATCGAACCTTGGCTTTTTGCGTGGAAGACAAGCGCGATAACCGTTAGGTCACAAAAGCGCTGCCTACTTGGTCAGCTGCGCGTGCGGCTTTAGTGAGCAAATATTTTGCCTTCGTCGTCACAGTGCCTTTCGTTTTATCACACTTCCTAAAATTTAAATTTTTTTGGTTATTTCTTTTGGAGGAAGGGGGGGGGGGGGGTTAGAATTTCGAAACCATCTTCCCGGGTTTCTTCCTTGAATACCAGCTGAACGTAGAGGAAAAGCGAAGGAGAGGAGAAAACAAAGAACCACAACCACACTGTTGGACTATCAATAGTCCAGTAGTGTGGTTCTTACCTTTCTGCTCTCCTTTGCTTTTTCCTGTACGTTCAGCTGGTATTCAAGGAAGCATGTCAAACCAACCGGCTCAGCTCCAGATCGTCACATCTTCGTGGGTGCGGCCCTGGCCTAGTGGTCTCTAGCTGTCTGTCTTAGAATTATGTAGTAGCTAGGGTGCCTCAATGTCCTTCTGTTTATGGTGATGCCACCCTTTGTAGTACCCGATGCCGACAGCACGCGCTCACAAGTAAAATACAAAGAAATCGACGGAAACAAAATGTCGCCATAGAGCAGTCAGCGCCACAAACGCGTGCAGGGACACGCTCTTTCACGCGCTTCTGAGCAAACAAGAAAAATAAACGTGTGAGACAAAATGGCCAGATGTCTCCACCCTAAGCAAAGCGCACATGAAGGCGCCCTAGTAGCAGCTACAGTATTTCACGTGCAACCAGATTCACGTCATAGAGAGGTAAGTAGGACGTCCATGGGATTGACAATCCCTAGCACAGACACCAGAGTCCTAGAAAGAAATGAGAAAAGTTCCCGTCTTAGGAGCTCTATACAATGTCGATACGTGCTGCTATAGACGTCCTAGGTATAGTTGATGACTGTCACGGTTCGCTCAATACGGTTCGGAAGCGGAATGAAGAGAAGGACAAGCGGCAGAGAAATTGCTACATTCTATTTACAAAGTTCAAACACAATCAAATGGCCTGGCATGAGGTTAATTACAACAAAGATAAATACAAATATACGTATAACTATGCAGTTTCACGACGGACAAAGGGGCGCCCCTCAGTCCCTCACATCGAATACCCCTGAGAGTTTGCTGCGTGGACGAACCTCGAAGAGGTGCAGCTCACCATAGTCAACTCGAATTCTGGGCTTGTGAAGTAAAAAAGTTGACATTGCAGCTTGGGCGTGCCAAGAGTCAGGCAAGTCCTATGCCATAGCCATAGACCTCTTTGCGGAACAGCTCCTCTGACCAAACGTCACATTTCGCTGGCTATTCTCTTTTTCTTCTATCCTCCTGCTCTCTCTTCTGCGGTCAACTTCTTTCTTTTTTTCATCATGGCATGGAGCCGCAGAACCACGACAACGACAAACAGAGAGTGACTACACAGTTTATAAATCGTCTGTAGAAATTCGCGAGTGCCCATACAATCGGCATAGAGGTCGTAGAACGACCTCTATGCCGATTTTTGTGAGGGCGCCATGCTCATTTGACGCTCCTGTCAATCTTTAGGAGGGCACTGGTCCGAAATATGGATGGAACTCAAAGTTTAGCTTCCAGTCTTTAAGCCATGTCAAAAATCGAGCAAAAACGGGGATTTCGGAGACCTCAGTTGTAGCAAATGGCTAGATCAAGTGACGTAGCTCCATTAATAAAGCTTGGACTTGGGTTTGGGCTAGCTGGTTGAACGTAGCTAAATATGCTGCGCTGCGAAGTTTTACAGAACAAACGCGTGACCAGAAGATGAAAGGAAAACAATGAGTTACATTGAGATGCGGAGAAACACAGCGCACATGAACAGGCGCAGACTAACAACTGTTTATTTTGATCATGATGTAAAATACCCGAGACTGTTGTCAAAGCTGGGAAACTTAGTCGAAGAAAAAAGACAGGCGAAAAGAACGTCTCAAACTCAGCGACTGCGTTTATTTCCTTAAGGCCTTACGTACCCACAACCTAATCACCGACCACCGACGTCACAAAGTCCCAACTTTTGTTATAAAATCCTACCCACACTGGTCTTCACCTGAACCGTAAACGGTTACCTCATTCCCAAGCTCAAAACTTGGGTCCTTGAACGAAACAATCACACCGACCCACTTCCTCTTCATCCAGAGTCTGAAAGTGCTGTGCTTTAACAGCCCTAAAATTACAATTTTAGAAAGTGTGATAAAACGAAAGGCACCGTGACGACGAAGGCAAAATATTTGCTCACTATGGCCGCGCGCGCAGCTGACCAAGTAGGCAGCGCTTTTGTGATCTAATGGTTATCGTGCTTAAGACAAGCACTATAACCATTAGATCACAAAGGCATCGAACCTCGCAAAAAGCCAAGGTTCGATGCCTGGCCGTGGGTAGACATTTCTGTTGACTCTGTAATGTAATGTTCTGCTGAATTCGAGAACCGTGTTGCTGACTCGAGGATAAAATGCTTTACGCGCCAAACCTTCTACGACGATTGTTCCAGAAGCCCACGAGTGTACAAAAGGGGCTCCGCGTGGCAAGCCGCAGTCAGTCTCGCCGCAGCGCTCGATCCTGCTGTCACGCCTGGTTCGATTCCCGCGACGCTTTGTTGTTTTCTTCTATTTCTTTTTGTTTTCGGCTCAAGTTCACCCCATTAAACATTTATTTATTTCTGTTTTTTATTGTTCTTTTGGTCACCATCCGTGACACTATTATGATTCCAGGCAATACATAAAACTTACGGAAATAGTGATTGGTTCATCACTTTCTTTTATGTTTATAAAAAATCTTGTTCTTTACAGAAGTACAGAGCTGCGGCACGGGCACGCTTGTTTGACCCGCATGCAGTCTCGAGAAAGCTGTTTTGAATGCGTGCACATATCATCACTGTAGGCAGAGCACCGGCGTAATAGTCGCGACGCAAGAGCCGAATGCGCCCCCATCTGACCGACCACGTTCTTTCTGCTGAAATGTGAGTGTGGGACACTCGAGCACCGTTAGCTTGCTGAAATGGAAGCCGCTGCTTTGTCGTCGCAAATCCTTTGCCCTTCGAACGCCTGCCCTTTGCCCTTCGAGCGCACGGCGTACCCCACGCAGCGCCTTTCAACAACCATTCGCGCAACATCACAACCTTCCGTGGCGGTGTGCTCTTGCGGTTCATTATCGCGGGGATTCATGCTCGCGGAGGTTCATAAAATACTCGCTTTCAAGGACTATAGACCTTTTCTTTAAAGGCGCCGCCATCTTGAGAATTGCGGCGCCAACGACGCCGTTAGCGGCTTAGAAAAAGAGATACCGGCTAGTTTTGGCAGCACAGCTATCTGGGTAGGCAATGGTGTGGGTATGGGGGGAACTTGGCTAGACTTGGCTATGGTGGGCTGCAACAACTTGGTTGGAGCTTGTCCGGTTAAATCCAGCTGGTTACTCACAGGCCATCACCTTGCCGCCTCGAGAGAACGAGGACGAAGACGGTGAGGTGTTTTGATTGAGTTTCCACAGCGAAGTATATATGAGCAATTTAATGTAGTCTATATATATGCAGGTAAGCTCTCGACATTTGATAGCTCCATCTTGAGTGGTGGCATGTAGACGTTTTCATACCTTTCACATACCATGGGGCTTGCAGTGATAACCTAATTGGACCACCTGCACCTTGAATTAAAATCTGTCCTCTTGCAGTAGACGAAGTGGTCGTGAGCTTAAACGTGACGTTCAGTCTGATATGAATCTCTCGCGATTCAATCTCGCAATCGACTGATTTCATAGATAAGGATTCTTGGGGAAAATGCGAAACTTGATAACATTGCAGCCACACTCGCGCTGCAACTTCTTGGACTCATGGCACACTTTCTGCTATTGTTCTTATGTTTTTGAAATTATTTATCCATCCGACGACCACGCAGTGGAAGCCAGACAGCCATAGATTTTCGGAAATTGCAGCACGGTAAAAGGGAGCACTCGGAACTAACTGATGCACGACGTCCGGTTTTAAGCCTTTTCGCCCATACCCTTGGCGGTTGCATACCCTGTGTCAGCGGGCAATCTAAAAATGCACCAGGTCGAGGGTACGTCAGTTACTGGCTGGTTTGAGGTTATGCGGAAAAGGTCTAGAAACTGCCGGCGCTCGCAGACTGTCAACAGGCGCCAGAAAGGTGGAATGCTCCGACGGCGGTGCGGCGAGCACTGAAACGCCTTCGCAGGCGTCCACGAGGCAAAATATTCTCAACGACAAAGCAGCGTCCTGCAACACCAGCAAGCTAGCGGTGGTCGAGAGTCCCACGTTCCCATTTCAGAAGAGTGAACGCAGTCGGCCAGATCGAGCCGCAGTCAGCTCTCGTGTCGCGATTGCTACGCCGTAGTAGGGTCTGTTGTTCAGTTAAGGACGGTCATGGTGGTGTCACGCCCATTTTTTTTTCAATATTATTTTTATGTGAGGTAGCAAAACCTGTCCACATAGCGTGACAGATCTTACTTTTGCAAGATCTTCCTTGTTTTCGTAAAAAAAATCACAATCCAGAGAAGGTTGAAAAAAGGATTTTCCCAACTGCGCGATGACGCAACTTTGAAGGCCGGAGAAATAAAGAATAAAGCTTTTGACACCGTCAAAGGTTTTTAAGTTCAATAGACGCATATTTTTATGCCAGAATTAATTAAAATTAACTTATATGCGCATATATTTCAAGCGAAATAAAATGCCAAACTTAGCTTCTGGAGCAAACCTTACATAATGA